GCTGTCGACGGGAAAGAAGAGATGCGCCAACAGCGAGCAGTGAGAAGCAATATATTTCGCTTCAGAAATAATATCACGTTAGTCGACTACATGCCAATAAAAAGAGAAAAATTTTATTACCATTACACATGTAGATGTAGAAATTGAGGTTAATAATGGAAAGAAATCTCCCATCAAAAAAAGGACAAGTTAATGTTCGTTGTAGAATCAAATGATCCAATAAATGTCCAATTGTCTTAGTTTATAATTCAGTTGACGTATGTGCAATAGTAGCGAAAATCATTTAGCTAAATAGGTATTCAACGTAAATCGCAAGCTAACGTCCAATGCAAACTGCAACGCAAGCTATTCGTACAGAGTTTAGCGTTACAGAGCGTGGTAGCACCAAACATATCGCGCCGTAGTATCCGATGCTTAAGTAAGTGCACTATTGCAAGCTTAAATGAAGTGCTTGGCCACACATCCACCGGCGTAGGAGTTGAGTTAAGGTAGCAAACATTACTGCTTTTAACTAAAAGCGACGAAAATGTATGCACCGCTCATTAGGTGCACATTGCTCATTTGCTCATTTTCGCAAAAATGAGCAAATTTCATTTATAAAGAGACAAATGATAACATTTAAGTACTCCCATGACTCTGGATGAGAAGAATTTGAAGGTCATTCATTACTCGTTCATGGAAACATGTGCACGGATTAGGGTGAAGATTACGTTATCTATGCTATAGAGTTACTTTAAATTCCCAAAAATTCTTTCACCAAAGATAAAGTAATTTTTAATTTAGCTTCTTAGAGCTGCATTGTGATTAGAGTACGACAGGTCATTCAATCGTTTCCTATAGCGAATTCAAATTGAAACTGAAATTGAAAGGAGGTTTATCTGTCTTTTTTCCTTTCCCAAAATAAATTCTAATTTCCAACGGAACTACAGAAGCAATTTATACCATATTCCAGAATAGTCGATTGATTGAAGTGATTATCGCGTAACGTTTCCGTATTCCGTGGCGATTAGCGTCTATCAAAGTAGCTGTTTAATCGAGAACAAAAATAATTTTCTTAACATGATTTTCCTGGTATTGCGATTTATTTCAAAAACAAGCGAGCGCTTTCAACTTAATCATTAAATATAATATAAAAATCGAACACATTAATATTTTCATAGCTCCCCCTGATCTTAGCTTACTTTCGTTTAGATGATTAGGAAATGAAAAAAAAAAAAAAAAAAGGGGAGGCTGCCAAAAGACCGACCAAACCGGTCAAAAAATTAAATAAGCAGAAATGTAAAGTAAATTAACGTTGATCGGCACTTGAAATTCGAAAGTGAGAGAATTTGCTACGCATACCGTTAATTAAAGAAGCAATAGAAGCCTGTAGACAAATGAATGTGCAGCCTAATAATAAATAAGCGGAGAAACAAAATAAAAGTCAGTTCGAGAAGCATACACTTTACTCTATATATATATATATATACTATGCAATTTGTTTTTCAATAAAAAGGACATGGAATTTAAAAAAATCTATATTTTGCAGATGCAAATTTGTACTACAGGTCTAGATTATTCGAATGCTTTCGAAGGTCACTTTGTTTACAAGAAAATGTTGTTTTTAAAACTCTTTACACATTTCATATATATGTTTTGAAAATATTGCTCAACACGTAAAAGCTCTTAATATGTCATAACGTTGATGTAAACGCAAGCAATAACAATAAATTGCAAATGAAATAGAAAAAATTGCGAGAAAAACGAGTAAGAACTAAACACAAAAAAAAGTTTCTAAATCCAAGAAAACATTTTATCATCTTTGTATGGTGTACACTGTTTTCTTATTTTTTTTTTTTTTTTTTGTTATGTATTTTGTATTTTTTATGGTCAAAATATGTTATACAGAATACGCTTGAAATTGAGTCATCGTATGAGCAAACGAAATGAACAAACAGTGTCAAAGTTTTTGATGGCCATCAGCGTAGGGCTCGTTTCGCGCGCATAAAGCATCGGTATAAGACGCAGCTGCTTCTCATTGTATGAAGTGACATCGATCGTTTTCATTATAATGAACCCTGGAATCAAACTTACGATTGATTTTTCTTATTGAGGACTATGCTCTATGCAGAAGAATCTATCCAGAAGAATTTAAAATAAATTAATTACGGTATAATGACGATCAGACGTCAAAATTATTCTGAATCAATTGTCTGTCCGTCTTCCTTCTAGACATCTATCCGTGTATTTTTGTTTTCCATTGAGATATTTTGACGAAATTATGTACATTGACGTGTTCTTAACTGAAGGACAATCGCTAATGAAAATCAATTGCTTAGGAGCATTTTTACGACCCTTCTTTGAAAAAAAAAACCCCTTACATGAAGAAAATTTGCAATTTGAAGAAATTGTCAACAAAAATCGCACAGTAATCGTATTAAGGTATACTTAACTGTTGTGAAAATTTTCGATCAAATGAATCAATTATATATATAACCCCCTCGAACAGTAGCATTTTATAGAGCAGAAATATCGGATTTTTTATATTTTGTGTATATCGGCCTAAAATAACTGTTGCACCAAATAGATTTATTTTTTTTAAACCCACCTGATATAAGAATTATCATCATGAAGCAGCAGACCTTTATATGGAAACGAAATGTAATTTTTAGTACTTTATGAACAATGTAGATGAGAAAAATTATATATTTTTTGAAATATTTTTATTGAAAATGAAAGTTGAATTCGCCAACATGAAAATCTCAAATTACAAGTACGAATTGTGGGCATGTACTTTGGCTCGTAAACGAAAAAGTCTAGTACTGTCCGATTGCTTGAAATAATTTCATCAAATTGGCTTCAGCTTTATAAGGGACCTTAGGTCTTTTGTTATGTTATCTTTTGCAATCATCCATACATATATCGTGCAATGTACGTATGTATATATGCAGATAAAACCTTCTAAAGTATTGTGTTCTAAAAGAACTGTCTCTGATTAAACGAGAAGAAGTCACGCGGTGTTTTTTGATTCCAGTGAAATATGAAATTTATTTCATTGTATTCCAAGAATGTTGTTTAAATGTACGCTCAAGTCAGAAAATTTAAAAAATTAACCAAGCCAAGACCCTGCTGTAACGTACGCTGTTCTATATATAGTCTTACTGCAATGTGTGCCTACTCACGCGTTGCAACAACAAGTTCTTTTTGGGTAATTCTCACTTACCTCATTCATTCGCTTTTTTCGACAATGTATACATACACATATGTTTCCTTAATTGTAATGTTTTGTTTCGTGAGAAGAGAGAGCCATTAATTGGATAAAATTAATTATCATTCATTATTTGTTTTATTTAAAACTCTTGACACAAGTCTTCGTGATCGACCAAACAATATGATATATTAAGTTTACCAGCAGTCAGTTCAAAGCTCTAACGATGATTTCTCAACACGACTCTACAAGAAAGTTTTCTTATGTGTGTGTTTCATTTCGTTTCATTCTCTTGAGATTGTATTCGCAGCTTTGCAGAACTTTATTCGAAATATCTGTAATGTATATTGTAAAGGTGAGAGTGTTTTTGGTCCATCTTACAGTCGAACATTTTAAATAAATTAACTATAATAATCTATATATATGTATATATATATATATATATATATATATATATATATACATATATATATATATTATCAGTTATTTGCAAAAATTTTCATCAGCCACTTCTATAGGCGACAATGATAAAGAAATAAGAAATGACAGAGTACATAATAGTTGAATCCGATGGTTTTGAATTTGGAAGTTCTGCCACACTCAGCGTACTCACAAGACCTGGTGCCTCCTAAAAATCGCTTCTTTAGATCGGTGCAGCATGGCTTGGCTGGCCCGCGGATCCACAAAATTGAAGAAGTGAGAAAATGGATGGCTGGATCGATCGCTGCCAAATCAATATAACTTCTTTCGACATAATATCGCCATGTTGCCAAAAATATTGCGAAATATTATAGACGACGATGAAAACTATTTTGATTAATATACATTGTACAAATTTTTCTCAATAAATGCCTTTTTGAAGTGAAAAAGTGATGAAAAGCTTTACAAACACCTGACGAAAAAATCGGAATTAATTCCCAGTCCCAAATTATAAAAATGACTATTGTAAATACATTATGTCTTATGGCATATATAGCGTAGACGTCACATAGACGGAAAGGCACACATAGAGACAAACCAATTAAGAACGTTTTTATGCAGTGAACGTCTGAACGTGAAATGAAATCTAAATATCTATGAAATCTAAAATATCCGACACAATGAATGTGAAAGGTTTACTTCTCTCTGTTTTGCTTCCTAATACTTCTCGATCAGGTTATTTCTTTAATTAATGATAGATAAGTCAAAAACGAAATAAGCGAATCACTTCAACTTCAAATATGCAAGGAAATCTTTTACTTTATTTTTTAAATTGGTTTTTGGCTTTTTTTTTTTTAATTTACTAACACCCACGAAAAGTCATATAATCGTAATAAAAAATAACGAAAGTATTTAATAATAAAACAGATAATCTAACACATGTATAATCAGTCGTTTTATTTAATTAAAAACTAACTAACATATATTTAATTAAATTTAATATTAATGCAGAACAAAGGAAATGATATAAAAAAAAATTTACATCACTCATACGCCTAAATGCTGCATTCATTATTTGTGGTTTTGAAGAGAACTCAGCACTACGTAACTTTTATAACTACATGTTACTCATACGTCTGTATGCTGGATTGTTTGTTATAGTGTTGCTTTCTGGGAGATTAAGAGATAAGAAATTTTTAGATGAACAATAATTTTTATGCTGATTTACTTATTTACTAAACATGCATTCAACTAAAAAACGCAGAAATATTTAGATGAATGGTTAGAAGGCTTTGAAAACATTTCAACTCAAGTAGTTTACGACGCTTATATAAATGCATATATTTACTTTAGTAATAAATAAAAACAAAGCAAAAACAATTAAATGTATTACCTGTTTGTTAGATTGCAAACGATGCGTAACTCGATATAAATAAATTGATTTCTTTTTTCAATTTTTTACACAAAAAAATATTTTAAGTCGTTCCAAAGTCCAATAATTTTTAAGAAACATTTATTTGATTGAAAATTTAGAAAATATATTATTACTGTTTACTGCAAAATAAATTGTTTTGGTTAATTATTTAATTATTTTAAATAATGACATTAATTATATTCATAATTTATATATTTATCCTTGTATATAAGCATTTGTTCTATTAAGTAAACGCATATATTTCGATTAGTTTATACACATATAAAATTATATACGCATTTAACTTAATATGAGTTTATAGAAACGTCTAATAAGGTTTGTAAGAGCAACAACGGGAAACAAAACAGTTAATTGCATCAATGAAATCTTATATGTATATGTATTTATATATTTAGATATATATATTTACTTGTATATATAAATATATACACATATACATATATATATATATATATATATATATATATATACCTATGTGTGTATACATATATATATAAAATAAATTTTTTTATTCGTTTATTTATTTATTTAGTTAATTATATCTACGAAAAATATTTAAATGATTGGTTTGATTTTTAACAGTAAGTGTTCTCTTTGTACCACTTAAACTGGATGATAGTTAGATAGCCACTAAATTTTGACACAAGTGAATATAAATTGCGTTCTACACTCCACTTCAAAAACAACAATTTTAAATTTAATAAATATTTTACTTTTTTTTTTTTTAATATATATATTACATATATATATATATATATATATATATATATATATATATACATGTACGTATATATTTATATACATATACATATATATATATATATATTTTTTTTATTTTTTATTTATTTCAAAATAGAATAAAGAAAAATAATTTTTGTATTCAATTATTTTATATCCAACTGTTGCTTTAAATTGCACCACTAATCTTAATTAAGAGTGAGAACGTTGTTGAACATACGAATAATCTCTATAGACTAAAGTCATATTTCAGATGACTGCTTGTAATATAGAAAACTGAAACTGAAATAATTTTGCGCTTTCGGAGCTAGTTTAACACACAAGAAGAGTTTGAATCGCACGCACAATACAACACTATATATATAAATGAGAATCTGTATAAATAAATGTATACACAGATGCGTAAACATGTGACACTACTGATACGCACACACCAATATAGATGCATTTAGAAGCAACAGTGTCAAAATGATTCCCGAAAAATGTTTACGATTTCCGTTGGCTTATTAAATGCGAACAGTGTTGCAAAAGCCAGTATTTATTCTCATTTCACGCAATGATTGCCATAATTGGGAATAAAAGTTTCCATTGCCATTAAATATTAAGCAGCTCGTCTTAGCTTCGTTAGGGGGCCATATGAATTTTTAGTATTTACGCCAGAGCTAAAAACCATTTATTTATCTCATTCATTCAATACATTGTCGACGTGAGTAACAATTTAGTTCAACGCATTATATTCCTAATCATGGATTCCTACACCCATGATTATGACAAAATTCTCTACTCAAATTACTTGAATGTAGGTAGATTTCATGCGCGATCGTAAAGCCATCTTCCGTCTAATAATTACTGTGAATAGTAATAATTTTTCATATGTGACTCAAGAATCAGCAAAACGAGAAGAATCCATTCTCTTTTAACCTTTATTATTGCCATTTCGAATTTATGTGGACATCGTGAAATGATCAAAATTTACATGTTGTCAAAAAAGCGTAGGGAACTTATCGCAGTACTGGTGCTGATCTTACGAAGCAAAAATTCAAGTACATGAAATCTTGTTTTATTTTATCCATTGACAGGGAGGCGATTACGTTTGGCTGCTTACTACCCTAAGAGTCAATTCAGCGATGCGTGAAAGGCAGCTAGACGAAGCAAATTCGAAGAACGAGAAACTCAATTCTATTCAGGAACGCATAATAAGTGATTCGTCAAGTAAGACCCTTATTGTTAATAAGAAAATGTACATAGTTCTCATAGTTCTCGGTATTTTTTTATTTTTTTTTTTTTTATTTGGGTTTGAATATCTTAACTAATTTTACTATTTCATTTTTAATAAGGTTTATGGCTACGTTTCAATTTTCTGTTTCCTAGTCTTCGAAAGTCATATGAAGCGAAAAGCGAGCGAAATTTGTTACATATATATAATCGGATCATGTTTAAAGATAATCGGTTCACTTTTGTGGATACGTCTATTAGATTTGTTGTCCAGAATTTTGAAAGGAAAGCTATTTACAAATCTTCCAAAGGCTTGAACCCCAAACTTGTGAAACACAAAGCAAAAAGAAGAAGAAAAAAATCATCGGGTAAAATAAGCTATGAAACAAAAGCCAAAGAAAGCTTTATAAAGTCTTAATCGTAATATGAAGTTCTTTTTGAAAGTTTTGAAGTTTACCCCTTCAATCGAATTTACCCCTTTACAATGTTTCGACAAATTTTCAAACTTAAAGCTAAAGAAAGCTAAACGAAATTCGTCGAAATTCGATTAACATAAATGTCGCATTAACATTGCTCACCCCTTAGCAAATATGTTAAGTTAAAATATCGGTTAAGCGTAAAACTTAATATTATTTTGAAGTTAATAACTATACAATCATTCCTATTAAGTAATCATAACTCGCAAGTTTTATCCCACGTTTTTCGTTTCTTAACAAACAATTTATGCTTTTCCTTGGCCTTCAAAAGCTTTTTAACACTCCGTCTCTTTAAACTAAGCGCTAATATATGATACATATATTCATTTATGATATTTTCTTCTTCCTTTTTTTTTTTTTTTTTTTTTGTTTTTTTTTTTTTTTTTATTATAACATGAATGTATGCGTACGCGACCTTGTGCGTGTTAACGAATTTCTACAACAAGTTTCCTTTATGCAATTGTTCTTTATAAAAGTGATAATTGTCTGAGATCCGACTCATTGCTCTTTGACTAGATTTTCATACAATACATTTTGCAATAATGTACATACATCTCATAATAATAATATAATAAATTCTTCCTAATATTAGCTTAATAACTGCTTGCTAGAGAGTGAGAGAGAGAGAGTTAGTCCAACTTTTCCAAGCACTTAAGTAAGAGGTAAAGAGGTAGGAAATTGTGTACACGTTGTACACATGCAGAAAATAGACAGAAGAAAATCAACACCAGCAAATTGCTTTATAAAATTTTGGCAAGAGATTGCAAGATATTTATATTTATAAGCTTTTGTCTTACGTGAAAGTCATTTAAATAATTACTTTGCTCAAAGCTATTAAATTTCTTGTATGTAAAGATTCCAGTTGCCTTACGAGCGAATAACTTTAAATGCATTCCATTTCCATATCACCTTAAGGGGTCATATTATCCCAAATCCGCTAAAAGTAGAATAATTTTTCTGAATTTCTACAAATTTAATTAAGGAATTCTTAAAGAAGTTTTATACATGAAAGTGAGAATGGCTCCAATTCCAGGTAAAACAGTTATGTTCACCTAAAGATCGAATCTTGTATACCCACGATGTACGGCACGATGTACTTACTCACCACACCCAAGTATTACTAGAATAATGTTAAGGAGATTTAGAAGTGTTACTTGAACAAACAAATCAATCCATCACATCCACCGTATTTCATTTAAAGTTAACACACTTATCTGCTCACATTGCACTCTTCTTTTCTGTCCTTAGATTTGATACTCTGTCGTTTGTATTGCTAAGAGAAAAAGGCATCCATCACTTTGTGACATCCACTACGTTTTTACGTATGGATACTATGTAGGCATATTCATGTGAACAACAGAACAGAATAATTTTCAACATTTACCGTTTGAGTAACAAGTAGACAAGTAACAAGCGTCAAAGAAGTGCAAAAAAAAAAAAAAAAATGTGAAAATTTTATCACTTGTCTTCCATAAAGTAAATCTAGAAATAGAAAATTGCAGCCTGCTTTCGTTCATAATTTATGAGTAATGAAGAAGAATCCAAAGACTGTTGCTTAGAGAAAGTTGTATTCACATTACGCTTTATTTCCAATATTTCTACCACATTTGAAATCAATGTCTAAATTTATTATGACAAAGAGAGGGCCAACGACATACACACATCGCACATACGGAAAGACATGACTTCTCCGAAACTTACTTATGGATATTGTAAACATTATAGAGAAAACCTGCAACCCCGTCTTCCACTGTTGGGTATTTTTTTTTTGCACGCTTAAACTTCTTAACCGTACCGCTGATGCGCAGGCTGATTGTGCACTTTGAACAACAAGCCAGAAATTTTCTGCAAATGTAACTTAAAATCTATTCCAACCATATTTTTGAAAAATTTACTTTTAAGAAAAAATGGTAAAGTTTTTATATATATATATATATATAAAATTTTTTTTATTTTTTTTTTTTTTTTTTTTTTTTTTTTTTTAAACATAGTCTCGAAAATCCGGCAAAGAATCAATTAATTTTAATCTATCGAAAAAACAAGTTATAGCATTCTTCAAGGCAAGGGCAAGTGCGATCACTTCGCCTACCTTAGTTATTCACCTGCAAATGCTTCCGTCCCCAATTATCTAAAATGCAGGTTACTTATCTACAATTACTCTGAAGTTCGCTCGATCGAACAGCAACCCTATCATATTGATATTACGTGCTTCTAACTCAACAACCGAACGATCTTTTACTGTTCGTGTTGCTAGATATGGGAATACGTTGCCTTAACTCAGTCGGAAATTCTTCGCTGATCACTTGAATGTGCTTAGAACAAAATTCAGCGCATTGCTTAACTCATAATTTATATTTTGTTGCCGGCTGCGATTGCTGCATTTGCAGCCGTCTAGCTAACTTGTATACTCGCTTATGTTATAGTCTACTTTTGCACATGAAATGTATCTGTAAGGTCTATCGGAAAGTTCAGTCCTTCTTTGGAGTGAGACAAAATACAAATCACCAATTCCATCTTATAAATATGGTCGAACCAAGATGGTCGACCCGAACGTGGCTTATCAGAAAG